ATATTGTGGTCAAGGAAGTATATGGTCAGCTTCATATGTGGAGAAGAGCCAAAAATGATCAGGCCGAGAAGTTAACTTCTTTTTTTGGTCTCTCTTGATGCTCAACACTATCTAACCAAACTCTATATGTATATTTATATTGTGTAGAAGGAAGTAAAGGACTGTATTCTTAAGGAAGCAAAAAGAAAAGTAAAATCTGCAGCTGGGTTTCGAAATGTTATTGATCTTCTTTCATCTGAGAAGAAGCTGATTGTTGGTCACAATTGCTTTCTTGGTAAAACAATCCTTGGTTTTCTGTTCTGTTATTACCATTGTTGTTCTTCATTCACTCATATGCTTTAACATGATACAGACTTTGCTCATATATATGGCAAGTTCATCGGCCAACTCCCTTGCAGTGCTGAAGAGTACGCTACCTCTCTTCGAAACTACTTTCCCTACATAATGGACACAAAGGTACTTTTGAATGCAAATGACTCTTTTCAGTCCTCAATGAAGAAAAGCAGCACATCACTATCCAAAGCATTTGCATCTGTTTGTCCTGGAATTGCATCAGGTGTGAAGGGCTATAGTTTAGGGTGTGTTGAGGTGGAGGTTCAAGTGGATGAGAAGAGGTTTGCTTCCCTAAATTATTTACTTGTTTGGGATTCCTTCCATTTGATGATCTCAGCCTGCCACTGGAGTATTGGAAGTGTTACATTATGGTATTTTTGATTGATCATCTATGATATGGCTTCTTTAGTGACTAATCTTCATATATGCAGGTTGCTGAACTGGAACTCTGGAACCAAACATGAGGCTGGCTATGATGCGTTTATGACAGGATGCATATTTGCTCAGGCATGCAGTCGCCTGGGAGTTGAGTTTAACATGAATTCATCCCCACTTGGTCTAGCTGATGAAAAGAAACTTCAAAAATACGTCAATCTTCTCTATCTTTCTTGGGTTAGTGGAGATGTAATTGACCTAAGAACTGGAACGTGTAATGCAGACCGTTTGGCTTCTGCCTCTCTCAAAACTCAGTACAGGCAAATTGATTTTCAAAAAATTGTTGTGCTGTGGGGCCTACAAAATACTCTAACACCAAGTGACATTAGAGAATGCATATCAAGGGCATTTGGTCAAAACTCTGTTTCTTCCATCTACTCCCTAGACAAAACTGCTGTATTTGTTCAGTTCAGCCAAACCGAAGTGGCTTTGGAGTTCCTTGATTTGATGGAAACGCTAGGGAAGAATAATGGTCCATTGTCAGTTTTGCATCCTCTCTCAAGGCTTTTAGAGGGCGGCTGCTCGCATGCTGCAGACTATGAGGTTTACAGACAAGTATGCATTTCACCCCTTTCAAAAATCTTATTTGCAGAACAGGCTGAAGCCGTCAAAATCAAAAGCGATGGGTTGAAAGCCACTCTAGAACACAAACCTTTCGTCACAGAGATTGAAGATAACGCCTTCCGTGCTCCCTCTGATGAAAAACATACTACCTTTGCTCAAAGCTTCTAGATGACTCTCTCTCACCGGAAATTTTTGGTTTTTTATTTTAGTCATTACTAGTACTACATTATATGAGATATGCTCTACTTAGTTGTGAGCTATGCACAATGTAAATAGTTAGAGAACAGCACTTGTGTTCTTTATCTTGGTTTTTGATGGTTGCTGCAACTTTCTATTTTAGTAGAGAGACCAGTGGCAGGTCCTGCAATGGTACTTGAATAGACATGTGGAGTGAGTTTTAGGCTTTGTTTGTTTGGATTCAAAAAATAGAGTTGGATGTTGGAAGAAAGTTGGAAGAAACTCGAAAGAGTTGGGAAAAGCTAGAAAGAGTTTGAAAAAAATTGAAGTTGGAAAATGTTGGAAAAAAATAAAATGTTACTCCCTCCGTCCCTAAATAGATTACAATTACAATTTTTTTTATCTTCTCTCGATAACTTTTGTTTGTTTACGCGATTTCATTAAGTATTTGATAAAATAAAATATTTTTGTCACCTCTTGTTTTGTAGAACTTTTGACGTAGTTTTTAAATATGTAATTTTTATATCTTATTGATATACCAATTTGTAAATAAAATGATTTTAAAAAGTAAAAAAATTTACTCTGTAACCTGCAATTTGTAATCAAATTGGGACGGAGGGAGTAAAAAAATCACTCAATTAAGTAATTACAAAAAAATATGCAATAAAACTAATTTTGGACAAAAAAAATTCATATTTGTCCATGTCTGAGGTGTTATATTATAAATTTAGAAATATGATGTTATTGTATATTCATCATATGAAAATACTTTTTTTAGTCGTTAGAAGAAACGGGAAGAAGTAAGTAGAAATTTGTAGGAGTAAGAAAAAATTGTGGCCGATTAGACTATCGGCTAGACGACTCCGACGACGAGGAGCCCATTCGACGACCAATCAGAAGGAGGAAGGCAAAATTCATTGCCTCGGGTTCTGCTTTTGATGTTAAGTCTAAAGCTTAGAAATCATGAGTCTAGCAGAAAGTTTTCTAACAGCGATGTAGGCCACACTACATTGATGTTAGCACCAAAGATTCCTTTGGGAGTATTGTCCAGAATATATAATTTTATAAATTTGGAAATATGATTTTCAGATATTATAAAATTATTTGGGAATATATCCTTAAATTAAAATAATTATTTTGTATTTATTAATAATCTAACTTTGGTTATCTTAGAATTACCGTGTTAATTATTAATTAAATATAAATATAATATTTTATTTTATTAAATATTATTATTCGAAATTTATGATTTACAAAAAAAATTTATCAAATTATTTTTAGATTCCTTGTATAATAATTCATATATTTAAGAAAATAAAATATACTAAGATGGAAATTCTATTTCCATCTTCTAGTAGGACACAAGCGGCCTGTTTGGGAATAGCGTTAGAGATTAGCGTTAGCGTTTTGGATAAAATTTTAACGGTGTAGATTATTTTGAAAACGCTAACGCTAAACGTTGCCCGTAGATAGTCTTTTCAAAACGCTAACGCTAATCGCTAATGTTATTCCCAAACAGGCACAAGGTCTATATTTTGGACAAATGTGTATTTTTGGAATATTTTGAATATTGAGAATTAACTTTGGAAACTAGTTCAATTTCTAAAAGGATACGTATGAAAATCTTGAAAATAAAATTTATAAAATTTGGAAATTCGATTTCCATGATCAAGTAGGAGACAAAAACTTTATTTTTTAAAAATAATTATTTTTGGAATTTTTAAATATCTAGAATTAATTTTTAGAAATTAATTAGGTTTCCTACCAATTAAATTTTATAAATTAGAAATAATATTTTATAAAATCTGGAAATTTCGTTTTCAGATTAGGTATGAGACAAAGTCTCTATTTTTGAAAAATATTTATTTTTGGAATAATGGGAATATTCAGAATTATTTTTGGAAATTAATTTATGTCTCTAAGCCACTAATTGTATAGATCCAAAAATAATAATTTATTAATTCAGGAAATTTGGTTTTATTAAATCAATCAAAACATACATTCTGGAATTTATTTATTAATTTTAGAAAGGTATAAGTATTTATTTCGAATTAAATCCCAACTTCAAAATTAATACCTATATTTACGATAATATATCATTTTAAAATTCTATAAATTTCAAAATGGCGTTTTTTGAATATTCTGGAGTTTTAAAATATTTTTAATTAAATTAATTGATAGTTAATTATTTGTTTTAGAAATAAATTTGAATTACTGTTCTAAAAGACATAAATTTATTATGTTTGTAATTATTTATTAAGCTTCCGCATTTTTAAAATTACTCCCTTACTATTCTAAATAAATTATTATGGAATAAAGTTTTAAAATATTTGAAATATTTTGAATGTTTACGAATACCAAATTTTTATTTTAGTCCAAAATGGGCTGTAGACCTCGACGGATTAGGGTGTTACAATAATTCTATTAAATAATTTAAATATATAAATCTTTATGAATAGAATGTCAAAATTTTAAAATCTATACGAGCATGTGCAAAGCACATGGTTAATACTAGACCTGGCAAAACTGACCCAGACCTAATAACACATACCGAATAACTCGGAACCGAACTCGAATTGACCCGAAAATTGAAGAACCGAAATAGAACCGAATACCCAAAATGATATGAACCGAATCGAATGTATTCGGACCCGATTCAGATTCGAATCCGATTTAACCCGAATCAGTTAAACCTGAAACCAATTAAACCTGGAACTGATTAGACCCGAAATTGATCAAATTTATTAATATTTCATTTATCAAATGAACTTGGAGAAAAATAATTGCCAATATATTTTTACATATGTTGATGTGTTTCTAAAAAAGCATATTTAAATTCTGGGTGCAAATCGTTCAACTACTTTCATATACAAATCATTTAATATGTATTTTATAACTTAAGTTAAAGTGTTTTTGTATTTTATCGTCTTTGAGCTTAAAGTTTGGCCAACATCGTCTCTTCAAAAATATTAGCAAAAAATATTAAAAATAGTACATTTATAGTATTTTATACCAACAATTTGGTAATAACTTTTACTCTGCATGTTTTAATTCATTATATATTTTTACATATAGTTATTCAAATATTTGACACACAAAGTGAAATGGATAGTATTGATTTATTAGTGTACATTTAAAATATACTTAAACTAATATAAACCTAAACCGATACAAATGTGAATCGGTATAAATCTAAACCGATACAAACCCGAACCGACACAAACCCAAATCGATACAAACCCAAACCGATATAAAACCAAACCAATACAAACCCGAACCAAAACCAAAAACCAATCAAACTGAAATAACACCGAAACAGAACTGACCGGAACCGAAACGAACCGATTCGAACCGATTATAACATATATCCAAAAGAGACTTGAAGCGAAAAAATCCAAACCGAAATACACAATGGGTAAACCTGAGATTGACTCCCTATCCAAAACAATTGCCAGGTCTAGTTAATACTAGTACTTCCGATACATAATGCAAAATACACTGATGCCAGGGTGGTTGTGAGGTGAGTGCCAAATGGGTAAACCTGAGATTGACTCCCTACGACAGGGACAAAAAAATGACCATGCTCTGCATGAGGTTTTTGCATAGAACAGGCCCCATTTCTAATCAACCATAAATTAAGTTCATTTTGTTTTTCAAAATAAATTGATGTACCTTTTCTCTTTCCTCTTTCCTCAACGAGTTCAAAAGTATGTGTCCACTCCAGGAAGCTGAGAATGGAAGGAAGACTGGAAGAGGAAAGCCACTTACTTAAAAAAAGAAATATATCAATATTGCTACTCATAGTGACATAAGCAATATATTGTGGTTAGTAACAGCTCAATAGGGAATACCAACCATGTTTGACAGCCGAACTTATTTTGGAGGGAGATAACATTTTCAGCAATGTTCTCCAATAATGTCATTCAAAGGAAAGTAACAATCAGCGCCAGTTTTTTTTGGAAGGCTTTGAATCTTGAAAAGAATGCATCTTTGGAACCCAATGATATTTGACCCACAAAACAATACCATCTCGGACTTCTTGTTTCACAATCGCATGGTTAAAGAATATATCCAATGCCCATGCCCTAGTGATGTCTCATTTGGCCTCTGTAAGTATACAAGCAGCAGCATGGCTTTCTAATGACTCACTTCCATTAACAATTTAAATAAAGTCATCTATCTCATCTCTATATGGTTTTGTGGTTGGCTGGTTGCATTCACTGTTTCGGCAATACTCAATTTTGGTTACGAACACTTTCTGTTCTCGAGTCACAAACCCCTACTTTTCTGAAGAAGTTTGTTATGGTGCATTGCTTTGATCCACTAGAATCCATCTTAGAATTCAGTTTTGCTCTTTTAGAGGATTTGGATATTGTATTGCTCTTTATTTTACTGGAAGAATTACTACTGGCACCCGACTTCTTCCTACTAATAGATTTATACTTTTTACCAGGACTTTGACTCAGAGATACAATTTCATTTCTTCCAATGTTCTTAATAAGCCATGGCTCTGAAAGTGGTAATTCACTCTGTACAGGTTTGGAAGGTAATGAAAAATCAATCTTACATTTTTCTTGGGATAAGGATGCACTAGACTTGCTAGTACTTACCTGTTCCTGAAATTCAGTTTCATGCTCATAAAAATGAGAAACTGCATCAACTAGACTTCTGTCTGTAATTCTGAGCAAATACAGCATCTGTGCTCGAATGACCCAAGATGGCAAAATTACTTGAAGTTCTTGTATACATTCCTCCATGGCATCTTCATCCATAAAACCCGAAATAAGTAAATTAGATTCTTTCTGTGCATGCGAAGTGTCGATATTCTCCATATCTTTACTTTCTTTGACATCTGATGAAGAAGCCTCAATCTGTAGCTCCAGTATCCTTACATCATAAGCAGAACCTTTCACAATATTCTCATCCACTCCTTGCAACACACAATGAGAATCTTGTTTAATATCCATTTCATTAACCAACCCCAAAAAATTTGTATTCCTAGCATTAGCACATTTTCTATCGAGCTTCTCAACATCTAGACCTAAGGTAGGAATAACACACTTTGGTTTTAAAAACTTCACATATTCTCTAAGCTCATCATAGTTTGAATGTTCACTATATGGCACAAGATGTATTTCAAGGGAGTCTTTCTTCCTCACTGAAAACTTACTCCCCTCTACATTGTAGCTCCAGCAAGTTGGAACAAAGCCCACAAGTTTTGAAAACTTCTTTTCTTTCATAATATCCTGCACTCTCACAAAATTAGGCCTAAAAAGAGGCCATGTTTCACCCAATTCATCGCAACTCACAACATGAATATCAGTCTTGGATTCATCTTCTGTAAACACTTCATCCCCGTGACCCAAGTCTCTCAGGCCCAACACTTTCCGACTTTCCACGCAGACCTTCCTCTTACATCTTCGTGCAATATCTATCAATATCTTCTCTTTCCCAATACCATAGGTTGAAAGAAGAAACAGAACACTCTTAGGTGAGGCTTCTTTCTCAACCCCATTCGACTCTATAATGTGAATTATGTAATCAATCGCCACCTCTTTACTGGGTAAGGCATATTTCGGATTATAATATGTGGCATCGAGAAACAAAGTATCAGAACCAACAAATGTACTTAGGGCAGGATCTAATTCCATGGAAGTGTGATGCCGAAAAGCACCTGCATGAACATATCGCTCAAACTTTCCATTAATATTAGGAACAGGTATCTTGAATAGGAATTGAACTGCTCCTGGGCAATAGTTAGCATCCACGAGAAATACTTCGCAGCCGTCAATTAATATCTGCTTTGAGAGAGGTAGAGAAACCACAAAAGGGGCCGGGACTTGAAGGACTTGGACAAGGAGGCGAGCAGTGATATAGGAGCAAAAAATAATGCCCCTTGTCCAATTGGGATAGAGGCCGGCACAGTGATCGGAGTTAAAATGGGAGAGGAAGTACGAGACGGAGAAATCGCCGGCGTGTTTGAAGCCATCAACAATGAAGCGAGTTTTTGGAATACGTTTCGTCTGAGGGATAGTGGACGGTAAAGGGCAGAGGCGAAAAGAAGACGCTAGCTTTTGGCAATTGATGGTATTGAGAGCGGCGATGTAGATGGCTGTAGAGTCAATGATTAGGGTTTCAGGTGCAGCGGACATGCTCGGGGGCTAAACGATGACCCGGGAAACGATGACGGTGATACAGACAAGATTCGGATCGAAATACTCTCATATAAGTCACATCATGATCACCTTCCACGTCAGCTTTAACTTACATTCAAAATTTACTGGAAATGGTTCTGAAGCCCCGGGGCTTCAAACTGAGGCTTCAAACCTTCATTTTTTACATTTTTAAATATACATCTTCTAAATTTAAATTAATAAATTTAAATTAATTTATTATTTTAATTAATCACAATGACACTAGTGCATAAAAAAATTAAATTCATTATAAAAAAACATTCAAAAAAAATTACATTCATTAAAAAAATTACATAAAAAAACAACACTACAAAGAAATCACTAATTATTCGAACGACTAAAGATATGCTCGATCAAATCCACCGTTAGTGCATTGTGAATCTCTCGGCTTCGAATTTCTTGGCGGTTGCGTCGTTTCTTTTCTTCGGTAATTTCTTCGTACATAGGCACCTCCTCGTCCGGGTTGTATTGACAAACCGCAGACCCGTTATCCTCTATGATCATATTATGAAGAATAATACATGCGTACATGATATTCCTCATTTTTTTCTGAGAATAACATTTCGACGGACGATCTAGAATGTGCCACTTAGCCTTCAAGACCCCAAAGGCTCGTTCAATATCTTTTCTCGCCGCCTCTTGAGCTTTTTTGTAGGTTTGGCGTTTAAGACCCATTGGTTCGGAGAGGGATTTGACAATCGTGGAATAATCCGGATATATTCCATCGGCCAAATAATATCCACGCTTGTAAAGCGTCCCTCTAAGCTCAAAAGAGGAGTCCGGTGCGGTCTCATTAACCCAATCGTCAAAAACAGGCGATTGATCGAGAACGTTGATGTCGTTGTTCGAGCCCGCGACACTGAAAAAAGGATGTCAAATCCACAAGTCATTCGAAGCAACAGCTTCGAGCATGATGGTAGGTTTGGGATGATCTCACCGGGAGAATTGACCGTGCCACGCAGTGGGACAATTTTTCCATTCCCAATGCGTGCAATCAATACTCCCAAGCATGCCGACAAATCCGTGTTTAACGGCATGCCTTGCTTGCAACTGCTGGATGTCGCTCGCTGTAGGCTTGCGTAAATATCTTTTATGATAAATTTGAATACTAGCTTTTGAAAATTTATAAACACAGGACCTGATGCTCCGAGCCGACATCTTCAAGTATTCGTCGAACATATCAGATGTCGTCCCGTACGCCAACTGACGGAGCGCAGCAGTGCACTTTCAGACGCTACTAAACCCGCATCGGCGTCTCGCATCAAACCGTTGGTTGAACCAAGGAACCTCGCGTTCAACATCGGCGAGTATGCGTAAGAAGAGAGGACGACTATCCGAAAACGATTACTAAAATCCTCCGGTGTATAAACACACGGATTATTAAAGTAGTCGTTTAGAAGTGAATTGTGGGCGGCCGCTCGATCCCGGTTTAGACGTTGGCGTCGGGTCTGTCGTTGGGAGGATTCGGCTTCTTCTTAGCCATCTTCCCACCATTGAATACAATTCGTCGCGAAACAACAAAAAAATAAAGCTCTTCTTTCATCGTCGGAAGATGAACCCATTTTTAAATTATATATTATAAATATTTATAATAAATAATAAATATTTTTGAGAGAATATAAAGTAATAAAGAGAGATTTGTGAGAGAGGTGTGTGAGAAAGATGTATGAGATAGGGGGATTTTATAGGTTTTTTTTAAATTTAGAATTTTTTTTTAAATTTGGGGGAGGGGGGGGGGTAACGGCTATATAGCCGTTGGGAAGGGGGGAGCCGGCTAAAAAACGCAGCCACGCCGCGTCAAACTAATGACGCTGGTGAACTCACGCCCGAATCACGCCGAAGAGGGCCGTGTTTAACGCCCCCTAGCGTTAAACGCCCGTATCACGACGGTGGGTGTGAGGGGCATTTCCAGTGCTCTTAGTTATGGGATGACATGGGGCGCTCCGGTACCCCGTTCGTAAAATTGACGGTTCCTACTCCCTAATCCCTCCGGTAAACTCGCACCCCGCCCCGACCCGAACACACCCCTACATCCGTCAATTGCACCCCACAAGTTGATTTTGACTTTGGAGTCAAATTTTGACTCCAAAGTCAAAATCAACTTGTGGGGTGCAATTGACGGGGGTAGGGGGTGTGTTCGGGTCGGGGCGGGGTGGGGGGGTTTACCGGGGGGTTAGGGGGGTAGGAACTGTCAATTTGATTCCAAAGTCAAAATCATCTTGTGGGGTGCAATTGACGGGGGTAGGGAGTGTGTTCAGGTCGGGGCGGGGTGGGGGGGTTTACCGGGGGTTAAGGGGTAGGAACTGTCAATTTTACGAACGGGACACCGGAGCGCTCCCATGTCATCCCATGACATTGGATTTCAATGTCATGGGAACCTTAGTGTAGTTACAAAAAGGCCTAAAGGTTCTCAAATTTATTTGTAATGATTGAAAGGGACATTTCCTCCAATATTTCATCCATAGACACTAAGAGATTCTTTAATTTCAAAAAAAAGTAATTGGTAATGCATATCTATCGAAAGACAATGTTTGTTCTATATATCTAGGTTAAAATATACTCCGTACAAAATAGACAATAAAAGTCTATTGAGAAGATCAAATCGAAACGCAGATGGAGTATTATTGAAGAAATTAGAGCCTACATGAAATTTTATGCAATTGAGTGAGAACTAAAATTTATTTTTCTGATTAAAAATTTATAAAATTAACTTTTAAAATAATTAAAATAATAGTATAAATTTTTAAAATCAACTTCTAAAATAATAGTTGATGGGTATATCCTTATACCCGGCCCGAATTTCCGAAAAGGACAAGTCAAAAGTTGATCGGTCACTTTCCATGATTAAAGAATGAGAATAACTCTTCGATCGAGACGGGTCAAAAGTTGACCGGTCACTTTCTTCAAAAAGTAACCGGTCACATTTCGGGCGATAGCCAAAATGTCGTCTTATATTACGAAGGATATTCCGGAAGACCAAAGAGACGTGTTGAGCTCAAGAAATTACCGGGTAACCTTTGAGAAAAGGTGACTGGTCATATCACCTTACTTGGCTAACATTGGTTCAGTCTTTTAGGCATGGCGAACCACGTCAAAGATCGAGGGACCACCCTGCCGCTCATCCATCACGAGGCATACAGTGAAAGGGATGTTTGTCATTTTGTAGGGTTGATTGGATTGAGAATACCTATCTTATAGTCATTGATTGAACAGTGCTTCTTGGTTGTATTAGTATCAAGTCTATGATTGAATAGTGATTAGATTATGCACAGTGACTTTCCTCCGGGTTTCCTATTTTCTCTCACTAAAGTTCACTCTTGAGATACAGTAAGAAATATAATTAAGACTGAGGAGATTTACCCGGTCTAGGTCATACTTTGTGTTTTTGTTGTGTGTATTTTATTTACGGGTCGAGTGTGTCCAAGTCAAACCTGGTCAACCCACCCAGCAATATTTTTACATTTTCACATAAAATTTAAAAAAATTATCACGTAAAAATAATCACATGTATTTTACAACCAAGATTTTTTTCACTTGATATGAATTTATTTTTAAACAATAAAACAAATATAGTTGCAAGGGTTTCTACAAAGAAAAATTAGAAAAACATTTTAAAATAATCATAAGTACTTCACTTTTGACTTCATTGAAGTCACAACTACTGCTTTAAAAAAATATTCGCATGGGATATATATACAACAAAACAATATTTGCAAAAAAACGAATAACATATTTTTCATATGTGAATTTTTTCAAAATTCTACATAGATATGAAGTGGGAGATCGGAGGCGAGGTCATCCTCATTCGAAATTTACTAGCGGGAACATGAGTGGCTGACAGAGGAACACAAAATATTAAGGTTCCCTTAAATAAATGTACAATTGGGATAAAATTATACTCGTAATTATTATAACGGAGATCTAAATTTGAAAAAGGTTAATCCGAAATGGTCATTTTGAAAAATTATTCTACATTTAAATGTTGAAAATACCTAAATTTCATCCACTGAACATCCATTTAACTAACATATACGAAGGGGACTGAGTGAATAAATCTCAACTATGAAGTATTACATAGATAATTAATGCTAAATAACACTGATTTTGAAAAATACCTTATTCGAAAAGACTATTTTGAGATTACTCAAAAAAAAAATTTAATTTATAATTAGGTGACCAAAAGACTTAAGACTATATTTTCTAAGAGAATTATACGTGTAATGATTGTGTACTTTATTTTTAGACAAATGGATAATATGTATCCTATGAGATTGACTCAATGCATATCTTACCTAGAACTTTTGTTTATGGTAAGATTATTAATTATGATATGAAATAAAAGTATTTCCTTACAATTTGACTATTTTTAAATTATTGAACATTTCAAATAAACAAATTAGAAAAAAGATTTAATAAAACTTTTATACTTTATCTTAGTAACTTGATTTACTATTTTAATCAAAATAATCTTATATTGTAACTCACGATTTACTCAGTACATACTTATATTGTGTTACAATTCAAAATATTTATACATGAGTTTAAGAAATTTTGAATGAGAGAAGACTTACTTGCTACATTTTCATTTACGCAATCGTTCATGGAAACTATATAGGATGATATTTTATAAGATGACACGGATTTATGCATAGAAGATTGTGACAAAGAAGATCAAGGTATGGAGGGGAGCGAGAGAAGATTCGTAACAATGAAGATTTAGGTAGGATAATAAAAAAAATAAGAAAAATTGTGCAGAAAATCCAAGGTGCAATATCTAGTAAGTTCGAGACTTGATTACAAGTTACAACCATATCAAAGAAAATACAATTTCCAATTTTAACTATTTGTATTTTGATAGAATATTTAATATCTTGGCCGGAATACTATCCCGACAAATCATTGGAGCACTACCATTTAAGATCACTAACTTAAGATTTGGTTTTTTAATAATGCAAGAAAGAATAATACTCTATCCGTTCTCAAAAACACTTCCTCTTTCATTTTTTCCACTTCCAACAAAACACTTCCTTTTTCTATTAAAAAACTACTTTTACCCTTACTTTTTCATACCCAACCTATCACATCATACTTTTTCTCTAATAATCTATCCATCACATCTTACTTTTACCCATCACATCAGGGCCAAAATTGGAAATCAACTATAATTTAACACTTCCTTATTTTTGTCCCAAATCAAAATGGGAAGTCTTTTTGCAAACGGAGGGAGTAGTTTTTTATAATAATTGCGCCGGGGGGAGTAGTCCCTGAATATTTGTCCAGTTTTTATTTTTTCCGATTAACTATTTTCAACATTTGACTTATAATTAAATAATATATGTATATATATATATATATTATATTAAGTAGATAAAATAATATTTTAAAAATAATTGATATAATAAATCAAATAAAACTAATTTTTTTATCAATATCTAATATCATTTTTATTTAATTTGAGGTCAAAATTTACTAATTTTGACAAAAAATAGTCAAAAGTGGACAAATACTCAGGAACATAAGGAGTATATAATTATAAGGTCGGTAATTTAAGTTTTCTAAATTAATGTGAGGAAAAAGAATCATTGGATCACTAATACTTTTTGTATTAATATATTTTTGAACTTATACAAGGAGAAAAATTATAAATTTGTAGAAATACATCAAACCTATATCATTTATATTTGACCTTTAAATAATATGTCAAATAGAAATCAAGATCCATGGTAAAATCGAAAAAAAATTCGTCCGAACGCGTGCGTGGCACGGACATAAATACTAGTTTAAATAAAAAATGTGGGTAGACCATGCTACACTTACACCAAAAATTGTATCTCATTTGTACCCTGCAGTTATACACAAACATTTTGATGGTTTACACCGATACAAGTGTTGGTACGTTAACAAAAATTTACACGGATACAAAGTGTTGGTGCATTAATAAAAATTAGTTTTACATCAATACAAAATGTTGATACAAACTTACGGTGTACAAAATGGGGTACAAAAACTTGGGGTACAAATAATTTAGCCTAGTTATTTTTAGGGTTTAAACTTGGAGTATTTACCTTCAGTGTCTAGGATCTCTTCACCCAATTACTCCAAGACCTTGTTTACAGCGTTTCAAACTCTTCTTAGGGTTATCGTCTCAATTCGCCATAGTATACCTCGCCCCAACAATTTTCTCTCGGTAAGCTTTGAATTTCGCAGCTTCTCTACTCTTTCCGCACGGCTGTGTGCGCACCTGTTTGACTATGGATTTCTCTATATTCGAAGAGAGAGACCTTTTATTTTTATGTGTGTGTTATTTAATGGGTTTCATAATCAATTTCGCGTGTGAAAGATGTTCTTTTCCTGTAGAAAAATAAGTTTTTGATTTGCAGGCAAGACACAATGTCCCGGGTGTACATTGGGAATCTGGATCCCAAGGTGACGGACAGGGAGCTAGAGGATGAATTTTTAGTTTACGGTGTCTTAAAGAGGTCAGTTACACTTCTAATTCGTTCCTCCTAAATTTCATTTGCATTTTATTGTTATTATTTCGGAGGAGTGCCTGATGGAGTTTGTATAGTAACTATAATTTTGTGACCGGAAATTCCGAGTTCTTATGTATTAGGGAGTCCCATGCATAGAAGTGCCTGTCCCTTGTAAATGTGACAATTTTTTAGCATGGGGCTTAGAGGAGTACCTATACCATACATACATATGTATGGTATTTCCCGTACAATCCTCATGAATACTCATTGTTGAGTAACAAAGTACTCATTTTCGAGTAACAAAGTACTCATTTTTTAGTACAAAATACTCATTTTCGAGCATAACTGAATTTAGAGAAATGAGTATTCAGTTACTTGAGAATGAGCATTCACTTGCTTTTAAATGAGCACTCTCTGTGGATGTACGGGAACCAGTTGTATGGTATATATTGCGGGCTTAGAGGGGGGTTTGATTCAACTTAGATAAGTAGGACTTATGGTATTATATTAGACTAGTAGATCTTTTTTGATAAGAGCTTAAAACAGTATAGCTGTTTTAAAGAAGAGTTTATTCAACTTATATAAAGTGGAGCTTATGGTAGTAGTAGCTGTAGGTCTTTGTAGATAAGAGCTTATAAGAGTAGAGCTTTTGTAAAAAAAAATTGGGTGTGTAGTTATTAATTAAGAAACAATTTACATTGTAAATGATATACGAATTTTACCTTTATTCCCTCCGAGCACCTAATATAAGTTTTAATACCACAGTAGGCTTGGGAAGGTGGTGTTTGTAGACCTTACCTATATTTGGAAAGTAGAGAGGTTGCTACAGCTTCAACTTTCTAAAAAAGGTTAGAAGTAGAGAAAGTGTGAATTGGGAAAATATGGACTAAGCGGTATTTAAATCCATGGTTTAAAAGGCAAAGCGCCTCGTCTTTTATCCCACTCTCCTTTTTAAACTCACCTCCTCTTCTCATTGATTTCAGCCAATGGGAGGCTCCCTTTTTTCCTTAAACACAACCCTAATGGTTGCTTTTAGAAACACCCTTTGTGCATAAGTATAATCATCATCACTACCATAATATCCAGATCTTTTAGTATAGTAGGGATTAGTAGGACTAGGGTGTGATTTTTATTTAAATTCCAAGAATTTAGCAATTGTAATACTTATGGCTATTCTGTATGACTACGTTTGTTGATGCAGTGTATGGGTGGCTAGAAGACCACCAGGCTATGCATTTATTGAGTTTGATGATCGCAGGGATGCTTTGGATGCTATTCGCGGATTGGATGGTATGTAGTATATATCTATGTTCATCTCTTTTTGCTTAGGCAAAACAGTAAATATATCTGCAATAGTAAGAAGATTCTAAAGTTTGACTGTTTGAGTATGTCTTTGGCCTTTTTTTGAGCTCTGTATTTCTCAGTCACGTAATAATTCTGTTTTTGACTTGACATGTGTTTTTAAAAAAATGTGTGGTTGAGAGAAAAGGAGAAAGAAGATGATTTTACTGTAACCATGTTTGGTTAGTCTAATGGAATTGATGGGAAGGGATAATTTTTCCTTGATGGAGGAGAACATCATCTCTCTCTTTGCATCCAAGGAAACAAGGGGATTATTTTGGGATGGAACAAAAAGAAAAACAAGAAAGTTCATTTGGGACGGAGGGAGTAGTATGTTTATACAATCATGTAACCTACGTTTTGTATTTTAAAATTTTTTCTTACAGTTTCAGTATTAGGAGACTATTTCTGCATGTTTACTTTAACGTAACAGGAAAGAATGGTTGGCATGTGGAGCTTTCTCATAATTCCAGCGGAGGGCGTGGTGGCCGCCGTGGAGGTGATGATTCAAAGTGTTATGAATGTGGTGAACCTGGTCACTTTGCTCGTGAGTGCCGCTCGCGCATTGGCCAAAGAGGAATAGGAAGTGGGAGGCGCCGAACCCCTAGTCCTCGCCGACGTAGGAGTCCAAGTTATGGGCGGAGGTATGGTCTCTCATGCTTAATTGCACATAACTGTGCTTATTTAAGGCTAGTTTTGAACTATCTAATCCTCAAGATCGCCGTTGTCATTTGCTTTCATATCTTTGGGTATCAAAGATAATCATTACTCCCTCCGTCCCCCATAGATCTTCCCATTACCCCTTTTTATTTGTCCGCCATAGATCTTCTCGTTACATATTTTAACACACAAAATACCCTAAATACCCCTCTTCTATTTCTCTTTCTTTTTTTCTCCATCTTTCGTCCGCCACTTTCTTCTTTCTTTTTTCTTTCTTCGTTTCTTTCTCCCCCCCATTCTTCTCCGCTGCCAGATTTCTTCCTCTCTTCCCTTTCTTCTTCTTCTTTTCTTCTTTTCTTAGTTTTTCTTCTTTTTCTCCTTTCTTCTCTTTTGTCTTCTTCTCCTCTGTATTCTTCTTCTTCTTCTTCTTCGCCATCTAGATCTGCGATGGTGGGGTAAGGGCAGTGGCGGCGATTGCAGGGCTGAGGACGGCGGTGGCGATGGGGTAATGAAGATGGCGGTGACGATGGTGGGGATGAAGGCGGCGGCGGCGATGGTGAGTCTAGATCTATGTTTCTTCTCTTCTTCTCTCTCCCCTTCTTTTTCCTCCATCTATGTTTTAGATCTAGACCATGATCATGGCGATGGTGAGACCGGAGGCGGTGGTGGGGTTGACGATGATTGTGAGGACTAGGGTGATGGTGGCGGTGGCGGTGAAAGTGGGGTGGCAGTGGTAGTAGCAGCGGCGGTGGTGGGGGAGGTTATGTGCGGTGGTAATTGGTAACAAAGCAGTAACAAATCGGGTGAATTGCTCTGTGGCAGAGCAAGTAGGGGCATAATGGGAAAGTCAAGAGTCTTTTTAATACTCCTAAAAAACCGTGAAAAGTCAAATTGAGAACATCTTACATGGACAGAGGGAGTATTTGTGAACTCTTGCTTTCACTCATCTGCAATTACAAAGTTAGAATTATTTTGAGACAATTATATCTTAGGTGCACTGATTTGCCACCTTGGTTCAGCGCTTGGCGCTTCAGAACCGTTGTGGGGTTGGGTGTGGCTTGGGGGGGGGGGGCAGAGATGAATTAGAAACACCTTGGATGACTAGGATTTGTCGCCGATCTTTGTGCATATGGAATCGCGNTGAAAAGTCAAATTGAGAACATCTTACATGGACAGAGGGAGTATTTGTGAACTCTTGCTTTCACTCATCTGCAATTACAAAGTTAGAATTATTTTGAGACAATTATATCTTAGGTGCACTGATTTGCCACCTTGGTTCAGCGCTTGGCGCTTCAGAACCGTTGTGGGGTTGGGTGTGGCTTGGGGGGGGGGGGCAGAGATGAATTAGAAACACCTTGGATGACTAGGATTTGTCGCCGATCTTTGTGCATATGGAATCGCGACTCAGGTAGTGTACCGGGTGCGGATAAATAATTCGACCAACGACACCACAACCCTTTTTATGTTAAGTATTAGTAGCCCATTAGGTTAGGATTGTGAGCGATATAAAATAGAAATTAGGTTGAGCCTTCAATATATGACTCCTGCAATTTGCAATCAACACTATGCTTCTGTGCTTCCTTTCAATTTAACTTCCGACTCAGCCCTTGCTATTTGTGACCACCGAGCAGGAGTATATGTACGCGATGCCCAGGGGCAGACCCACCAAGCGTCCTACGAGGTCGCGGGACCTCATGGACTGCCACATAGTTGTATATATACAGGTACATATGGATTAAGAAAATATATTTATTGAGCAAAGGACCTATTTAACGATGTGCCCCTGTAGTTCAATGGACAATGGACTTGCGCCCTTACACTTTTAATAGTCTTTGGTTTGACTCCTGGCATACCTTTTTTGCTTCTTTTCTTCTTCGTTCTTTTTTTCCTCGGTTTCCCCTTTCTTTTCTTTCTTTTTTCTCCTTCTTTTGTTTTCTTCTACAATTTTCCTTTCTACTCAATAGTTACTATGCCATTTATATTTAAATACTTCTCTGAATTAATTTATACTCCTATCTCATTTTACTTTTAGTTTGTTCACTAGACTTTTCATTTTTTAAAAGAAACATTTTGATTGTTAAAAATTATATTTGTACATGCATTTAAAAGTTACTCTGAATATTTCAACACATATTTATAAATATTAGATTCACATTATAAATATACTTTATCTATAAATTTGTTCAAAGTATATACATTTTGAAAAGAAAAGTCAAATATGCAGAACAAACTTAAATATAAAGAGTAAATCATTGCTACTTGCAATCCTATTTTATCCGTTAACACATTGATATAAACTCCTAATTGGTAATTGAGTGATAAAAATTTAAATTTTATTTCGTTCTTTATACTCACTAATAACATTAATGATATTTTGAAAATTCAAAAACATTAATGATATTTTTGTGTAACCCCTAAATAATAGCTAGTGAAGTTAAGGGAGAGAGACTAATATATGAGTAAAGTATATGGACAAATAAAAATGAGTAAATTTCATAATTGATCCTTTACAACAGAGGGATTTTCATATTTAGTCATCTATTACCAAATATTACCTCCGTAGTCCTTTTTTTAAGGGTGCCTTTCCACAAATGGTCCTTTTTTGATTTTCTGTCATGTTGGTATTAATTTAAAGGCTAAAAGTATAATTTGACATCAACATTATGTCTAGTGACGTGTTCTGATATTAGTTAAGCGGATAACACAAAAATAATGACTATGATTGTGGGCTAGAATTCCGACGAAAGACCACATTTGTAGACTATGGTTGTAGTAGAAAGCGGCTGTAATTCTCAAACGATAGAAATGGAACATCCTTTGGAATTGTGTATGACAAAAAAGATATATTATCATTGTGAAATTACACTTTTAGCCCTCAAATTAACACCAACATGATAGAAGATCAAAAAAAAGTCTATTTGTGGAAAGATACCCATAAAAGAAGGACCACTGTGGTAATATTTGATAATAGAGGACTAAATAGGGAAACTCCCACAGTTATAGAATTTACTCAATAAAAATAGTACCTTCATGTTTTTATTCTCAAAATAGGACTTATAATGCCAGCATCCAATACCAAAAAAAACTATGAAATTTCAGTATACAGTGTTATATTGTCACTCTACAATAGTCTTATTTTAGAGATAAAAACGTGCCACTTTTACTTTGAGGATAAAAACTACTCCCTCCTTCCAAGTTGAAACTTCTCGTTTTGACTTGACACGAGTTTTAATGTAAGATGAAAAATGTATTGACTTTCCACAATTTCCCTTCCTCTTCACATCAGACTCCCTGTTACAGTGCTACTCACTTCCTGCCCCTGAATTTTCATCTTTTTCAATCACCCCCGTCTCTTCTTCAATTGAAAATCAAATTGCATAATGAAATCAAAACTTAAAAACCAAATCAAAATCAATTCTTTTCACACTCAAGAAAATCAAATTTAGAGTTGCGAGTAATAGAAAGAGGTGAAGAGCCGATGAAGAAATAAAAAATAGATCAAAGATTGTTACTCAATCGCCCCCTGTTCGTCTCCCCCGCTGTTGCCGCCCCTTTCTGTCTCTCACCATTGCCACCCCGGAACAGATCTACCCTTCTTGAACAGATCTATCAAAAGCTTCTTGCGATTTGATCAATCAGCTTTGCAATTTGACAAAAACTAGGAAAAAACAAGGTCGGGAGGGGTTGTGACGAAGAACAACGAAGAAGGAACATAGAAACTAGGGTAGAAGAAGAAAAGATAAAGAAGAAGAAGCAGATCGGAGAAAGAAAGAAGGGGAGGTGTGTTTCACGGAAGAAAAAACACAAAATGAAATGCGGGAAGAAGCAAATGGAAGAAAGAATGAAGAGAAGGAAAAAATAAAGAAAAAGAAAAAGGAAGGGGGTGAGGTGGAGTGGGTGGGCCGTGGGTGGGGCTGGTCTGATTGGTCTCAAATAAGAGAAGATGAAGAAGTGTAAATTAGTCTTTTTAATAAATTTTATTTGCCAAATATGGATGGGACAGAGGGAGTATGTTTTGCTCCTATTTTGGATGACAATTTCTTTAACTAATTCATTTATAATGCACGAAGCAAACATTTTTTTTAAAAACAATAAAGATTTAAAAAATGTCTCTATAAAGGTCTTCATTCAAGTTTAATGATTCTATGCCTTCAAATCAACCATTAGTAAATTCCAAACACATCGTATAGGTCTTTACGCATTTTAAGACACAGGACTGCAGCCTCATATTTTAATACACGGGACCCCATGTTTTGAATTTCCTGGATCTGCCTCTGATGACACTTGACACCTTTTTTGGTTTCTTCATTTTTGTTTTTCCCTTATCTTTTTGTTAAAGAAACTGCAAGTTGATATTTTAATATTAGCTTTTGGCTAATCACATGTACCCTTCAGGCCTTTGTAGTTTTCTTTTAATTGTTCAAAAAAATCAATATTTTGTTATCACCGTTTGTCAACTCACATATGTCAATGGATTGTTATATGCTATTTAAATATTTTTATACATTTACAACTCTATATTAGTGAGTATTTTATTATTATTTGTTGCCATATCCTTGCCGTCCCCACATCCTTTAATTTTTAAAATGCTGTTTTCCACGCCTGTCCCCGTCCCTCTATGTGTACCCACACCCGTAAAAACTTGTCATTCCAACCCATATCATCCAGCATGGTGATGAAATTTCTAAGTTGAAGTTCCGTGTTAAATTTTCAACAGCACAAATGCAGCTTCGTATCCCATGGAGTTTTACTTGTCTTTTTTGTGTGTGGTAATGTACAGGTTTTTAGTATTTTATGTAAACACATGATTGTCTCATCAAATACACTAATTGGTACACCATGTTTTGCTTTTATCGAATGATCTTTGAGACGCATGCACCTTTAGATCATGTGTAGGAGATTACATGGGTACATGCATCATCATTATCATCGTCTTTAGGTTATTTCTGTCACTGAATATTTATGAGTTCTGCAAATACATCTTTGTTGTTACAGGAGTTATAGCCCTATTGGCAGACGATCTCCACCACGTCGCAATGTTTCTCCACGTTATGGTCGGAGCTACAACGTGTCGCCTACTTACCACCGTGGTCGTCGATACTCACCTATTGGATATGGGTATTTACAGTGCATACGTGGTATCTCTTGTATTGACTTTGATTAATTGTAGCCCAACTGCTTTTATTCATTTTTTGCAGTTCACCTGGATATAGACGTGGTTGACGCGAATCACCTTGTGCTATTGGGTACGTCATGCTTCCTTACAGGCATATTAAATTCCATGGAAATGCAATTCCTCCTAGGAAAATGGGACTTTTATTGCCCATTAACCTACACCTCTATGGCTCTACCATCAACAAGCTACCCAGCATAGTCTCACAAGTGGGGCTGAGGACTATACAACCACCACTAACAAAAACCTACTCAGTATTGTCCCACAAGTGGATGTGGGAGGTGAGTGTACACAGTACTCTTACCTATAAAAGGTAGAGAGGTTGCTTCTGTAAGACACTGAGTTCAAGATCAAAAGGCAAACAAGTAAAAGTAAAAGGTAACAAATATGAGAGTTGAGAAAGAAATACTACTAACAAACAAAACACAACATAGAATCTCAATCACACTAAGAAGCAAAAGAGGGTGCCCGGTACAGCGGTACTGCCTTACTACAACTCTAATTCTCGACCTCCAAATGCTCCTATCTAAGGCTATAAGGTCATGCCCTCATGGTCATATCTTCAGTGAGGTGCAGAAGCCCCATTATGCTAACAATTAAGTATTCTTTCTCAATTCCACCGGAAATTGAACACTAGAATTTAAATCCACATTAATTTCATTCCCTCCAAAGTCCAAACAAAAAACAGGAATCATTAATTGTTCCATTTTTTCATCTTTTTCTCATGGAATTTAACTTTCATTCCCCCGTTTTTTCCAACCAAATGACCTGTTAATGTGCTTTTATGAATGTTTGTCTCTTAAGTCACTTCCTTGCATCATGTGAGTTTGCCCTTTGTTTCTTGTTATTCGTATTCACATCTTATTTCTATTTCTTAATTGCCTTGGTATCTGGAGAAATACAAAGTATTTATGAGGAAGAAAAATCTGGGTAGGTTGTCGAAGAGAAGAATAGTTTTTGGGAAAGACTAAAGAGTAGTATTTACTTTTTCATTTATTTTGTTGCAACCATGTTCATAATGTTGCTTGTTTTGCAGAGTTTGAACTCTGAAGACCAATTTGAGTGTACGTGATAAGCTCTAGTCCGATAGGGCTTTGATGGAAGAGTATATCACTGTCAATAACGTTTCAGTTAATAGTGGACTTGGACTTAGGATGCCCTCCATTTCATCTCGGCATGCTCTATTTGGTTTGCCTTCGTATTTAAAACTACTTAACCAGTTATGTCTTTACATTACGTGGTTTAAAAAAATGCTCTAAGATTATTTACTATGAGTGGATGTAACCTGCTATATTTTCTGTTGTTTTTTTGAAGTATGGTACATTGCTCAAACTGGCTGTTAGGTCTCTACATCATTAATGTGACTGCTCTCTCTCTCTCTCTCTGCATCACCGTTGTTTCTCAGTCTGCCTAATCCGCTTCACCCTGCTACTGTTTATCATCAATTGTTCATGTCCTCGCTATCATCTCATTACTCAGTCCAAATGAATTTGATACGCTCGAAAACAGTGATGCTAAGGTCCTCTCCCCCCACTGTCTCCGCAAATCTTCCAAGGCCATTTCTCACTACCCATCATGCTTTGGTCAACACTACATTGGCTTCATTCATAGCTTTTGGTCAACACTACATTGGCTTCATTGATAGCGTTGGTCATGTCAAGCATGATCTCACCAGAACACCTGCAATATTGGTTAAGTTGTATCTGGTTTTGCATCTTAGCAGCTGTGGATTCATGTTTATGGATGGGGTATGTTGCATATGTAATATACCTGACCACTGTGATGAAAGTGCATGGTTTAAGGAAAAAGAAACACAAATGCATTTGGCATTCCATGTTCCTAGTAATAGTTTGTGGGACTGTGGGAGCTGAGGTCCTTTGTTCTATGTAAAAGTACTCCCTTTGTCCCTCAAGCTTTGCCGTTTTCCTTTTTCATCTGTTTCAAAAAATTATGTTGAAAAATATTTTTTTCATCCGTTTCAAATAATTATGTTGAAAATATTTTTATTTCCAACAAACTTTTAGCGTTCACTTTTTATCATTTAATATTGTTTCGGTTTAGAGTATCTCCAATAGTGCTGCATATATTCAGTTTTTGAGTTATACATCTTCCAATAGTATTTCATTTCCAATTGCAAATTGGGTTTTAATGTATTTTAAACTCAAATGTGGGTTGAAATTTAGGGTACTCTATTTTTTTCTTTTCTTTCATATCTTTATTATCGTAAGATTTTCTAAATTTTTTAAAACATACATTATTTGTCTTTTTAGCTAACTTGTTTTTTATTATTTACAACAATTTTTTATTTTTAAAATATAAAAAAGTAATAAGAAAATGAATGTACTATGAGAAATATTGTTTTGATTTTGGGGTAAATTTGATATTTAATTGAGTTTGGTGTGAATAGTTAAAGATGATTTTAGTCAGTAATTTAGGCATTCCCCCCTTCAACCATTCACTGCCTTTAAGAAACGACTCAAAAATGTCAAATAATTGTTTAAAATGAGTTTGTCAATCATTCATGTCAAATTATTTATACTCTAATATTTTAGACAAATCATTAATTATACTTTGTAATTTTTTACCAATATATAGAAAGTGAACAATGATTTTTGGATAAATGCTTATTATTTGTTCAATTTTGACGCGATCATGTTAGTTTTTGACTAATAGTTAAATATTTCCTTCGCCCCCTATAGATCATTCAAGTAGTTTTTTATTTGTCCATAATAGATCTTCTCCTTATTTTTGTACATTTAAAATATTACAACTACCTCAACTTTATTTATTACACATTATTTACCTCATTTAATGTACTTTACATATTTTAGTTAAGGGTATTTTGGTAATTTTCACCTTCTCCAACTCTATTTAAAAACTACAAAAGGTTAAAAAGAGAACATCTTAGGGGGCGGAGGGAGTATATAATACTTCGTATATGATATATTAATTAAATAGATATAATAATATTTTGAAAATATTTTATAAAATAAATTTAGTAAAATTAATTGAAAAATAAATTTTTATCAGTTTCAAATAAAATTATTTATATCAGTTCCAAATATTAAATTTATTTACTTAATGATCAAAATTTATCAATTTTTACTGCAAAATATCTAAATTGAGCAAAGCTTCAACATGAAATTAATATTTAATATAGAAATCATGATATGCATAACAGTCTAAGAGATACTATTACGAATCAGATAAATAAGTAAATTGTTACCCAAACAAATGTTCATGCGAATTAGATTTTAAATGGGGCGGATCTAAAATTACCAAATCAATATCTCTTTACCAATAAGATGTCTTCAATTCAGTACGAATAATAACTGTTTTAAACAGATGAAGATATATTTCATTTAAGTAGATATGCACACAAATGGTAATCGAATTTACGATTATCTATGAAAGTTCACAACCCTAATTAAAATACCCCAGAGTATAAACAAATTAGACAATTACCCTAATTTTTTTTTACAGCCAAAACACATATTCTATTACCCACTTCAACTCAGCCTTTACAACCATCCTGCAAATCTACCCATTTCTTGCCCTTCATTTCTACCCTCCATTTCTTTTGATGGCTGCTGCCAACACTGTAAAACAAGTGTTTCTTCTTTTCCTTCCCCTTTATTTTCTGCACCTCATTTCCAACTTCCTCCAAAGAATTGGCTGGCTTGAATATGCATCTGAAACTCAGTTGGGCATGTTAAAAGTTTTTATGTTCTAACACCGCACGCCTTCCCACGTGCATGCGTCGATCCATGCATGCGAAACCTTATTTTTTAAACTTAGTTGCGTTGAGTTTCGAGCCTTTGACCTCTTTTACTCGATACCATGTTAAAGAAACCAATGCAACTCAACCCAAAACTCAAACTTGGGATAAATTCTAACACTCTCAAATAGCGACATGAGTCGAGTCTTGGGATATTCTCAACAGCTACATTGTGGGAAATTTGTTTAGAAACCTGACAATAAGGTCTCAAAAATATGGGGATTGGGCAGTCAAGTATAGGAGCTCAGATGTCTAATTTTCATATCAGACATTTAATTGTATTAGTTGGTTTCAAAGCTTTCATCTCAGTATTAAGTCTGAATTAGCAATGGGTTTTAAAACTCTCCTCTCAATATATTACGCCGGGTTGCAGAACAAATAAGAACAATCGCGGCGAATTGCAGATAAGAGAGAAAAGTTTTCTTGTGTTGGAAGATGAGAAGAAAAGTGAAATGATAGGCATCAAATACCAGAATGGCTTGCCCTCATAGATCATTCCAACCAGATTTGAAAGTTGAAACACAAAAGGGAACGCCAAATGGACGAAGGAAAGCCACTTTGTGACAATTTATAAGCGCGAAAGCGGATTATAGGTCAAGATTGTTTGAATTTTAGAGATGTGAATGAAATGAAATAATGCATTTACATAATGGAATCAACAAGTTTGGCTGTGTTTAGGTGATTGAAATTCAGGCAGGCAGTTCATCCCAGAAAGATCATCAAAAGCATCTCTCCCTTAGCAGTAAAGGGTTTACATATGATTTTTAAAAGCTTAAAGAGGTCATGGAATGAGGTAGGACAAAGAAAGATGTATCAAATGACATAAATGTATTGATAAAAAAAAGGATGATGGGCCTGTGTGGTTATAACGTTAGAGATTAGCATTAACATTTTGAAAAAGTTATCTACGGGCAGCGTTTAGCGTTTTCAAAGTAATATACACCGTTAAAATTTTATCCAAAACGCTATTTCCAAACAGGCCCAATACCCATCCCCGAGGGTCTCTCAGTCATCTAAGAAAGACGACAAAGAGTGAGACCTGTACCTGGTACTTGCATTGGCCTTATGATCCCAGTTTAGTTGCTAGGAATCGAACTCGAGTATATTATCATTTGGGCACCTATTGTCTTGCTAACTAGTCAACGCCCACCGGCACGGAAGTGTATTGATATAATCAAGCATGGGCATGGAGAAGTGAAACCTACTGTTAGAACTGGTAGAGAAGCAAGAAAGGATTCTCTTATATATAGTCCTACCACAATCCCACAAGAAGCAGACAAAAACCAAGCACATGAACTAATTTGATCTTAAACTCATAAAACTTTCATCTTTGCACAAAAAGTAAAATGGGAAAAAACCAGCAGGCAAAACAGATTTACTTTATTTAGAGTTAAAAATTCATACCTCTGTTTTTTTAGTGTAAAATGTACTGTATTATCTATTAATACTTTCACTCACTCTATTGATTTTTTTTACTCATTTGATAAGAGAAAATAAAACAAATAAAACATAAAACAAAATGGAATTGAATAATAGACAGTATTTTACTACTCCCTCCGTCCCTAAATATTTGCCACATTTGTATTCCCGAGGCAAAATATCAACTTTTTTCAATTCATTTTATTTACATATTGGTATAGAAATAAAAAATAAAATTTACATATCAAAAAACTACATGAAAAGTTCTTCGAAATAAGATGTGTCAAGAATATTTTATTTTATCAAATAACCAATGAAAACATAGAAATAAACAAAAGTTCCCGCGACTGCTAAAAAAGCAAATGTTGCAAATAATTTGGGACGGAGGGAGTATTTTTTTTCTAATGTTATTGTTTCCTGGGTACATCCCATCCCTATTTACTTTACTGAAATGATGAAGCCTATAATCCTAGGGTACTTCTCTATCACAGTTTTGATCATTTTATTCATTTTGAATTGTCTCAAATATTTGTATTTATGTGACCAAAGTCAATTCAGACTTATCAATACAACAAAATAAAAAAAATGTTTGCACGCCATTCATAAACCATACAAAAAAACTTAATCTCGCAATTATAAATACAGTTATTGAGCTCTTAAATTTGACATTAAACTTTTCATTCTAAGTAGTGGATAAGTTCTTTTAAATCTTCCTAAGCTTGCCTAGGTAAAGGAAAAAATATTTTCCCTATGAAAAACGTGGGAAAACAAGCAAAAAAAAGTCCAAAAGACGTTTTTTAGTCAAACGATCATAATCCCATTTCTTACCTCGGACCAACGTTTCCAAAATCATATTGAAATGGAAACTAAGCAATAATCAACAAGAAAATTCAAAATGAGACTATTATAAGAACATGTGCACACGTTTGCAACGAGAGTCATAACTAAATCCATCGACCCTATGACTAAAAAGTGGGACCATTCTAATTAAGGTTTCTAGTTTTTGAAAATTAGAGTTGGACTGTTCAGAATTAGAACGAGATGTTTCTATGCCTATTAAAATTGAGACCAACAAGTGATACGGAGTAAATGATAAAATTCTTATCGTTATATAAAGTTATCTCGAGATGACATATTATGACATCACCCGATTCTAGGACCCTGTGATGCTTCGTTCAATCAGAAGTGATCTTTATCCCTAACTTCCGATTAATCTTCCACCCGGCACACCCCAACCCTCCAAGCCACCCCCACGTCGTCCCAATTTTGACACTACATTGTCACTCAATTTGGATGTCCGGTTGATTAGGAAGCGAAATACGTTTAAATTCCTCAGGGATTAATAAAGGTACAACAAATTTTGAAGACGAATGAACAATCGTAGACAAATCGAGTGTAATTATATGACATTAGACTCTTGAATTATTTTGAAGTTTGTGAACTAAAACATGTTTTCAAATTAAGATTCAAAATATTTGTAATGGGCAGTGTATTCCTTTATTGGTAGCAAAAATGATTTTTTGTTTGAAGCATAAAGAATGTTAAAAATCAGCAGCAATGCCAAAATTGGACAGGTCTTGAAGGCCACGCTTTAAACCTGGCATACAACTCACCGTCCAAAAACCACACTGGGAGAGCTTTCTCCTTGACCTTTGCAGTGCTCGCCCATGGTTTTGACGCTGTAAGATTTCTGTAATCTCTACCCTCGCTTTTTCTCATTTTCTGCACAACATTTAGGAATCATACAGGTTTTGTTTTTTTTTGTTTTGTTTTTTGGTATCAGAATCATACATAAAATTGTTTAGGGATCTGTTTGTGTTTTTCTCTCTCATGTTTTTCTTGTTTGATGAGCTGTTCATGAAATTGTGATATTGAAGTGGCCTGTAATAGAATTTCAGAATACCTAGATAATTTGTCTGCGCTCCATTTGGTAAATAATTTTGGTGTTATTGTTTTTTCTACCAGTATTGATGTAATAATCATATTATATTATTGCATTTGGTTCTGGTTTGGGAAGGAGTGAGGTTGGATTCTGAATTCTAACTTTACAAGGGCTGTGGGAACAGGATGATAATCCCTAGTCTGTGACAGATTTACTTGAATCATACATAAAATTGTTTAGGGATCTGTTTGTGTTTTTTTCCTCATGTTTTTCTTGTTTAATGAGCTGTTCATGAAATTGTGATATTGAACTGGTGTGTAATAGAGTTTCAGAATACCTAGATAATTTGTCTGCTCTCCATTTGGTAAATGATTTTGGTGTTATTGTTTTTGCTACCAGTATTGATGTAATAATCATATTATATTATTGCATTTCGTTCTGGTTTGGAAGGGAGTGGGCTGCAGGGGCAGGATGATAATCCCTATTCTGTGACAGATTTGCTTGAAATTGATGTTAGTGACATTTGAAAAACTGAAAGGGGAGATTACAAATGGTGCCTCTTGAAGGATTAATCTGTAGAAAAGATTGGGATCGTAAATAGATATTCCTTCCGTGAGAGCTTCCACCTTTGAATTGGCACTGAGATTAAAGTGAAATTGTGTGGTTGAATGTGATGTATAGAAATTATAAGGGCCACGGATTCTTTTCCAAAAGTGGAGAGTGGGACCTGTTTATGGGACGGAGAGAGTATTTGGTTTTTATTTCCTTAGTTGTATTTTTGAGCTATGAAGGAGGTGGCTTGTGACCAGCCGGTGGTAGCAGGGGTGGATTTGGATGTTGGTCGCCGGAATATGAGGTGGTTAGGCGATTCTGGAAAATGACTTTTGGGGAAAACATATCCTAAGACTTTTCCTGGAATTCAGTTCTACTTTTCGATAACTTTAGAAGTCATTTTCCGTTTTCTCATTTCCAGGTGCGGTCAAACTTAGAAAAATCTGGGAATTAACTTTCAGAAGTCATTTTTGAGTTTCCATATGGACCCTTAAAGAGAGTTGAATGATGAAAATGGAATAATGCTTATTATATCTGCTTTGTTGCTTGATAGTATTGACTACATTGCTGAAATTTCACTTACTCTGCTATTTTCTTTCAGTTCCCTTGATTTTTTAGTTTGTTTCTGGCCAAATGTTCTTCCAATCTCTCCTAAAAAAATAATTCCTGGACTCCTCTGTTTACCCTAGGTGGGTTTGTCTCAAATCTGTTTGTGATGGTACCAAAACTGGCTTAGAGATTATTTGCATATTTTCATATGAACTGTTAAATATGGAGTATTTGGAATAAAAGACTTGCTTTAGCTGTTCCTTTGAAAATGTAGTTAAATCCAGAATCCAGGATAGAGTTGCTCTCCATATGTAAATCATTGTTAAGATTACATTTTTCCATGGGTTGCACTAGAAGTCTAGAATTTCATGACACATCTTCATGAACTATGAATTACGAGTTTAATCTTCAACAACATATTCATGCTATCTTGGACAAGGTCACAGCCATGCCTTGGTGCATGACTGCAGGCTATTTGATGATGTCATTTTTCTTTTAGATGAATTTTGAGAAGGTATAATTGTGTAACTCCTAAGCTTGGATTATGGAGTTCAACTTTAGAATTTGAGGGCTTTAAGCTAAGCATATGTAAGACATCATACATGAAATGTAGATTCTATAGAACTTATGTGGAAGGTAAGATAGACTAAGGATTTAAAGGTGTTCATTTCATAAACCTAAACCGCACCGAGCTTTTGGTTTACTATATTTGTAACCGATTACTGAGCCAAAGTAGTTTGGGTTGTTCCGTAAATGCCAAAATTATTTCAGTGTTGTTTTTGTTTTTAAAATGCCAAACTAAACTTTAATAAATATAACAATTTTATAATATTATATATAAATTCATAATATGGAAATACTGCATCATTCTCTAGAATCCAAAGGCTTTAGATTGAGCAAGTCTAAGATTGGATACTTGGAATGTTGCTTTAGTGGTTGGGTGACAAAGTCGGAAGTGGAAGTTAGGATTGATTCACACCTGGTGCTTAAGACAGACAAGTTTTGGTAACTTGGTTTGTGATTCAGGCAGATGGGGAGATCGATGAGGATGTTGTTAATCGTATTGGAGCCATTTGGGCAAAGTGGAAGCTTGCTTCAGGTGTCATATACAACAAAAAGATATCGGCTTGCATGAAAGGGAAGTTCTACTCGGTCAATAGTCAGAATGGCTATGCTTTATGCAGCGTAGTGCTGGGCTGGGCTGTGAAGAAAATCCACATTCATCAACTCCATGTGGGAGAGATGCGGGTGTTGACGTGGATGTGTGGGTAGGCGAAGTTAGATAAGATTTAAAGCAAAGTTATTCCGGGATGGGTGGGAGTGGCACCTATGCAGGATAAGATGCATGAAGCTAGGCTGAGATGGTTTGTGCATGTGATCAAAGATACGATCTTAGAGAAGAACATCTCGAGATCTAGGACCAGAGTAGTTGGATAGGCTGTTGGTCCTTGGTGGTAGTTTTTGTACGAATGTTTTTTGCTATTGTCTTTGTGTGCTCTCTGTGTTTGGGGTCTAGTTGCCAATGACGACTTGTGTGCTTGGTGTCTTTGTGTGCTTTTCTTTGCCCTTAGTCTTCTCTTTGCTTTTTGCTCTTTGCTACTACTTTTTTTGGGCTTTATGTCTTCTTTGCTGGTTTATGTTGACTGTGCTTGATTTGGGAGTCTCTTGAGAACAACCTCTCTGCTTTCGAGTAGGGGTAACATTTAAGGTCTGCCTACACACACCCTCCCTAGACCCTACTTCTACCCATTGTTTGGATGATAAGAAAAGGGAAGGAAAGAAAATACATGGTGAGAAAACACACATTATGAAGCATATTCTATCGTTTGTTTTGGTGAGAAAATGAGGGAGGAGAGAAAACTACCTGTAGTTCCCACAAAAAGTTGTCTTCAACATAGGTGATAAAATGGCATCATCCTCCTCCCACCACAAGATTCTTATCATTCCATCTTTTTCATCTCTTTTCTCCATTTTCTATCAATCCAAACACTAATTTTTTCTCTTCAATTTCTTTCCTCTCATTTTCTCTCCCCATCCAAACAAAGCATTAGTGGGATTTTATTGGGTTTGTTGTTTGTTGTTATATATACATTTATTTGTATAATTATTATGTGTGCGTGTATTAGGTATTTAGGTGCAAGTGAATTACCAAGAAATGTCTTCGGTTGGTTTAGGCTATCCGACATGAGGAAAGATCTTGTTTGTTATCGTATTTTGGCTCTATTGTTGCTGATTGTAGGGAACTCCTGGGTCCTTTCAGTCGAATGAGTTTCACTATGTTCAACTCATTTTGTTCAACGAACAACGAATTGTTACGCTCATTCGCCCGTTACAACTAGTATTGAAAGCTGGTTTTTGTTTGTTGTGCATGTAAGGTTTTGGCTATACATGTTCATGTCGGAACAACGTCATGGGAGGCTTTTCCCCGGACTTTCGTTCTTTCTCTATTGAGTTAATGGATGTGTTTTTTCCTTCAAATAAAATTACCAAAAACTGTATTCCGAATCAAATACTGAAATTTTGGGTAGTAGACCCCGATTACTGAACAATTTAATATTTGTTACATACCAAATTATCGGTTTCAGTTTGGTTTGTTCGGTATTACCTAACAGTTCACATTCCTATTATGATTAGAGCATATTAGACTTAGAAAGTACAAGGAAATAGAGTATTCAGACCTTTCACTGTTTAGGTTATATGGTTCAACGTGATGAAGAATTTGAAGCGGACTTTGAGCTTAGAAATGTGGCACGATGGAAGAAGTTTAGGAGTGCAAGGCAAATCATGGGTGGTAAAATATTACCACTTACACAGTCAAGAAACATTTTATATAGTAGCTATAGGCACACTTTATTGTATTCACTAGAGTGCTGGACGGTGGAATATCAAGATGTATATAAGATCTCAATAACTACAGCGATAACAATGTTGAGATGGATTTGTGGTCAAAATTAAGGAGAGACTAAGAATAAGGTGATAACAGTGAAAAGTACGAGTAATCTCATTTATGGGCACAATGATGGAAAAGTAGAATGCTATTTGAGATGGTCTGGCCATGTCTGGAGACGGTTGACGTATGCACTTATTAAAAGCTTTAAAGACATGAAAATACAATATAAAGGGGCTGAGAAACATAAAAGATGATGTGGACAGAAACAATGAGATGAGTCCCCATGAGGTGATGAGTATTAAACATAATGAGGATACATCTTTCAACACGAACAAGTGGTCTCACTTAATTTATATAGCCTACCAACCTTGTCTAAAAAGTATGGTCTGGTTATATTCTTGGATGTATATCTAAGTTGGTTCATCATGGTTATGACCAAGTATTGATGTGTTGATGAACTTTTGTTTCTTCTTTCTTCCGTTGTGGAAATGAGGTAAGAATCAAATTGACTAGCGATGCTTGTCTCTTGCATACTTTTAATACTTTTTGTTTTTTGTTTTTGTTTAGGGGATAGTAGGATTTCTTGTTATTTCCTTTTTGAGACCACACAAAGCTGATACATTTTAATGTTCTTTTTTGCATTAAGGTTACCTAATACTTACCTTTTCTATCTCTTCAGTTAGCGTCACCAGTCGGTAGTGTGGAAAAGATCATCTGATGGTACATTGGTACTTTGGCCATCATTTTTTGCATAATTGCATTTTGATCCCTAAAGTTCAAAAGATTATCAGTAAGCCCATTTTTTAGATTTGTTTGTAAGGACTGGAAATAATACATTTTCAAGAGTTTCTGCATGGTTTGATTGTTATGCTCATTGAGTTTTCCTTACCTAAATGTGTTCAATCTGATCTCTTTTTCCCATTTCTCATTCGGGATTGTCGAACACACTATCATATGTGGCGGGTTTTTAAGTGCTTAGCATTGGAGAATGGGCTCACAGCATGACCAACACCTTGTCGACAGATGCAGAGAATCTGCGTGTGTGGAATCGAAAGCTGATGATGGCCTCAGCCTGTGTTCCTTAGATCCTCCAAGCACTTCTCAGTTATCAGCTCTTGGAGCTATTTCAGGAAGGTTTAACCCTGCTGTATACTACAAGAGAAAGTTCCGGAAAAACATCTTTTCTACTTGCACCCCCCAATCATTAGCTAAAGTCAAATGTTTTGGTGGTTGTGATTATGCCATTTGTTCTGAAGCTCTTTCGAGGGGTGGGACGGAACACAAACTGTTTGAATTGGAGGTCGACATAAATGCAAGTAGATCTTCAAGTAGGCCCCCTTTAGAACGCAATGCAGATCCACTCCTCTCCAAGTCAGAATCTTCTAATGGATGCCATGATGGGGGCCATCGTTGTTCAGAAGAAGCTGCTAAAAGTGATACACTCAGTTTATTGAACCCATGCCTAAATGATTATTTTTCATCTTCTGAGTCAAATTTGAATCATCGTTCAGCTTTTCTAAATAGTGATGTGGATGGTGCTGGTGAGTGCTCTTCTTCTGGTGCACTGTTCACTGAAGAACTGCATGATGATATGCCAGAAAGGGATATATGCATTTCAGTTCTTAAAAAGCATGGGCTGCTTACGAGGATTAATATGGATCATGTTTCCACTACTACCAGTAACTGCTGTCTAGTCCCATGCAAGGTCTGTGGCTGTTCAGATACTACACTAAAAATGTTGATTTGTGATAATTGCAATGACGCATTCCATCTCTCTTGCTGCAATCCTCGTGTAAAGAAAGTTCCATATGGTGAGTGGTTTTGCCTCTCTTGCCTAAGAAAGAAGAGAAAACTACTGAGGGAGAATTCAAGCAGTAAAACTTTACATGTTATAGATGAAGACGGTGGCTGCAACAACATATTGTCTAAAGGAGAACCCAAACACTTAGATTCCATGTTGAGAGGGAGAGAACCATATCACTCTTCTCCTCGCATTGGTGATCAGTTTCAAGCTGACGTTCCTGTCTGGGATGGTCCTGTCAATGAGTATGTTCTGTTATTACCTTTTTTATTGATTATTGTTATGGATCTCTTTCTTGAATACAAAAATGTTCTATGATTTAAACAGGCGTATGAGCCTCACATCTTTAAACAATCACCAAAACTGCTTCACTTTATTCTATGCCCTGATTTGTGGGATGCATTTGCTTGAATTTTACATGTTTGTGGAGCTATTCCATTACATTATGTTAAAACATTGTGAAATTAGGAGGCTAGCGAGTGACACTAGTAAGCTGCCACCTGCTAGATAGCGGAAGCAACATACGGAACTAATAGTAGAAAAATAATAGTAATATGAGCACAACTCCAACCGTCCCAAAATTAGGTTCATAATTCGGTTTACAATGTTTGATTGAAGTTATTTTCAAGTCAATTTGTTTAAGAAATGATGTAGAATGAAAAATCAAATGTATATATTTAAAACCACATCAAAAGTTTTACAAAACAAGAGGTGTCGCAATTATATTTTATCAAATTATAAATGAATATTTGTAAGGAAAAAAGATATGGTTTGACCTATGAATAGTTATGTCACTATGTGGAACTTTATTTTGGGACCGATGGAGTAGTACTTGTGATGATATTAATTGATATCAACAAATGAGAACACACAATTATTCAGGTGTAAGGAAGGTATTTGGGAGCTTGGGAAGGTGCAAGGAAGGTATTAGGAAGTGAGCTAGGTAGGTGTTGAACCATACGGGATCACCAAATATCTGGGTCTGGCCAAACGGTGATAGTTGAGCCGGGCTGAACGGGACTGCCAGATACATGAGCTGGACGGGATTTCCTGATATTTAAGATGAATGAGATTGCCATGTATTTGAGCTGGGATCATATGGGACTGCAGATATTGAATCATTGATGTCATATATTTCTACAAGTAGAACATAACTGAACTACATTTTCAAGCACCCCCCTTTTATCTCCCTCTTCTTCTTTTTTTTTTAAATTTTAAATAATATTTGTTCAAGATATTTTAAACAGCCCTCAAGTAAAAATACTGTTTACCCAAAGGCATTTATTTTCCAAAAGTACTGTTCCCTCAACCCCTCAAAGCGTCAAAGGCATTTATTGCCCAGCACTTCATCAAAACTTTCTAATGTGTAGTACTTATGATTATATAAATTGATAACAACACGAGAAGAATACTCCATTATATAGGTAAAGGGGAGCTTATGAATGTGTTAGGAAGCGAGCTAGGAAGGTGGCGTGTGTGGATGAGTTGTAAAGTATACTATTTCCTAATATTTCAACATCTACCATAATGTGCATGCGAGAATTTTAGTGCTGTTAATTTTTCAACACGACACATGAAGCATGAGAGGACTGACATGTCTAAAATCAAGAAATGTCATGCTTGGCACACATATTCCACCTCTTAGTTGCACTCAGAAAAAGAAAGAACTGTGATGGGAAATGAGATGGCTGTTTAAGGTTCTCAGAAAGCTTTCTACTATAGTACTTCTCAAAGTCTGCAAGATAGATTCATAACAACTAACCTGTATATGAATCTGTTTTGAATACCATCTCATACCAACACTATAATGTTATGTATTTTGTATACTTGTATTCTATTTATTACTCTGTTAATGCAAATTCATGTATACTGTGACGTGTGTCGCATTCTGTTTACCATTCTGTGTTTATGCAAATATATGTAACATTGTACATTATTTCACTTTCTTCGATTTATGTGTGCTTGCATTGGATTTCAAATATTCCTGTGTAAATTCTATTTTGGTTCTTCATACCTGATGCAGTGAGGCTAGTCCTACCACTGAACCAGTCGAAATGGATGCTTTTGCAAGCTTGCACGTAAGATTTATTTTGAAATTTATTTTTGTTCCAATTGGTTTCAAGATCTATAAAAGTTAAGATGTTTTTGCAGGAAAGCAATGTGAACAAGCCTTTTAGAATCAGCTCTATTGGGAATTGGCTACAATGCCAGGAGGTTATATTAGGAATTGGGAAGGGTTTTGATGGAACTATCTGTGGGAAATGGCGCAGGTAAAAAAACTATTTCTAATTTTTTTTTTTGCATACTTAAGTGTGTGGAATCTTTTAATTTCTGGCAATATCTGATTATAATAGACCAAAGCACATATACCCTACAGGAGACATTTATAATAAGAATGTCGGCAAAGTTTGTTTTGTTCTTGCTCCTGAATGTTATTATGTAGCCTATAGTGTGCCTAAGTCTGCTGTATAGTGTGATTTAGTCTGCTGTATTTGCTGGGAGTGTGGGCTTTCATCTTAATGGATTCAACACTTCCCTTCAAGCTGGAACATGTAGTTCTAATGCTCCAAACTTTTCAATTTTAGGTCATCTAGGATAAAATGGTTGTAATAATACATTCATGAATAACAATCCCTAACATTTCAAGATACATAATCTTAACATCTTCATGGTAGAGGTTGGCTTCAATGCATTGAAGTACAGAAATTTTTTGGTAAGGGTTGGTATTAACGGGCACAAAGTCCTTTTTAGCAAAATTTGGTTGGAGGAAAATCACTTTGCTACCGATCTATAAAAGAAACACAAGATTGTGCAAACTACAGTGGGATAAAACTTATAAGGCATCATGAAGTTATGTGTGTGAATGAGAACAGTCCTTGTAGAAATGTATTGATATATCAGAGAATCAGTTTCAATTTATCATGGACAACTGAGGTGATCAATCTTTGAAATCATCTCATGGAATATTATTAGGTATGTACATTTTATGTAGATTTTGAGTAATCCTACAACTGGTGGGAGTAATTTGGTGGGCTATGACAAAGACAATCTAATTATTAAATAATGCACATTTTATATACCAATTTTCCATATTTGGGAGGTTAATATTCTGTTGCAGTTTCAATGATATTATTCCAGAACTAATCTTTTGTTTAATTGACCCCTTTGTTGCCTTTTTTTGCCATCACTTACATATGTTGGGTGTACATTGCATTGGTGTCTCACTGTCTCTCATACTCTACAAATACTTGTCTCAACTTGGATCATTCTGAACTCTGGTCCAATTAATATTTAATCCCAACAGAGGGTTTTGTTGCAGGGCACCACTTTTTGAAGTTCAGACAGATAATTGGGAGTGTTTTGGATCTGTTCTTTGGGATCCAGCACATGCTGACTGTGCTGTACCTCAGGTACATTAATAAATTGTTTTCTATTCTGTAATCTTTCTTACGCAAGTTATTTTGGCACACAATTCCTTCATTGCATCTGTTTCTTTTCTCCCCTTTGATGAAAATACGCTTAANCCCCCCCCCCCCCCCCCCTCTCCCTAATTTATAATTATTTGCAGTTCAGGTTTTACTACATTTAGGATGTCCCCGAGTTCCTTTTTTTATATGAATCACTCTTCTAATTGAGCGTTGCATCAAGATATGCACTGTTTAGGAATTGTCAACAGATATAGTATTTCCCTTGCAATCAAAACTAGGAGAAATTAAAGAAATCTAGGCAGGAAACTTGAGCTGGGAGCCTAGGACATCAGAAATAACATTAGACAATTTTCTTTGTAAATATGCTATGATGGCCTAGCTAATATAATTCTTGGATATCTTGTCTTGTCCAATTGTGTTTTATAGTGACGCTATCTATTGAGTGATTGACCCATCTTAAGCATCTTGAAAGTTGGCTTCTGCCTCTTTCGTAACCTTAAAACGTTTTAATTATAAAAAATATATGATCCGTGCTACTGATTTTGTAGTAGAGAAGCTTTGATATGCTGTAGGCCAAGGCAGAACAAATACTTCTGTTCTCCCCTTTGCTCTACTATTTACTTCTATTTTTCACTTTCTGCATTTTCATCATACTTGTCTATTATGTCTCTGAGGCATGATTTTTGGCACATCTCACCTTCAAATCTTGTGTGACATGTCTTTTGTTTCAGGAGCTAGAAACAGAAGAAGTTTTAAAACAATTGAAGTACGTAGAGATGGTAAGTGTCACAGTCATCTTTGATAGTATTTTATTTTATTATATTTGGTTTATATTTATGAGTTATATTAGTTATATATAGGAGTGTTAAGGCATAAGTCTCTCTCTCTCTCTCTCACACACACACACTAGTATGTGTTTTTTTGTGCTCTACACAATGACTTATATATTGAGCATACACATAATCTGCCATTCTAATCCATCTTGCTTCAAGATTTTTTGGCGAAACCTTATATTCCTCCCTTACAATCACAAGCTTAGTTGTTCCTTGCAAGTATGGGAAGGGGAATGAAGAGTGGGACCGATGGACTACTCCCAACCTCCCTGTGTTCTAGTTAACACATAACAACCCAGTAAACTGCCAACTCCGTTAGGGTTTTAGGGCCAAGATGTACTCTTACCACTGTAAAAAAACACTATTGTTTCTGTTAGACCCTTAATGCATTCTGCTGCATTTACTGCCCAAAACATTGTTGAGAAGCAAAGGACGTTTAATGTGTCATTTTGACTTAATCCATTATTTAGCCAAAGCTAAAACATTGTAAACCGTGATTCTTTTGGCTCCATTGGCTAAGGATACACACTCAGTATGTGCTACTTGATTCACAAAGATCTGGAATGGGAAAAAGAACAAAACAAATGTTTCGGTTATAGTGATCGAGTAAGGACTAAGGATTCATTTCAGATTTTTACTTGATGACAATTGAATGAACAGTTTGCAAAACACTTGCTTTCCAGCTGAGAGAGAACATTTTTGGCAATGTTTTAGTATTGGACGCATGCTCGACTAAATCAGAATGATCCATTAAACTTTCCTTGATTCTTACTTTCTGTCACGTTTTGGACAGTGAATGCAACTATGCAACTAGGGTCCAACGGAAAAAATCTCTCTGTTTTTACACAAATAAGACTGCATACATCTTGACTTCTCAAAGTTGGAATTATACTATGTTGTTTTAGTATAGAATATTTATGGCAGCTTGACTAACAAACATACATTATTTTGATCAGTTTAGACCACGGCTTGATGCGAAAAGGCGCAAGTTGGACTGCACCAAGCATAGCAGTGACTTGCAGAGTTGTACAGAGACTTGAAAATATTGTGGAGTCCCGGGAGCGTGCAGATATTTGAAGTATTAACATGTATACTATAATGCCCTTGATTTGAACAATCGCCAACACGGGTCAAAATGACGAAGGTTGCCAATTCTTTTTTGGTTTCAAACGGCGCTAACTTGTCTTGACTTAACCCTTTATGATAGGATATTTGGATCCGTTTGAACAACTTATGATTTAAATGTGCGTAAATTTGAAGAAGAAGAAGAAAGTGATCCCATGTCATTTAGTCTGTTATTTGCATGAGCTTAAAATGATCAGGTCTATTTGGGCATGTTTATTGTCAAGAGATGATTGTCCACTTTTTTTTCTTTTTTAATTTTGCGTTTGAATCAGGGTCTTTTATATAACAACCATGAATCATACTAAGTGTACACCAAGGAATGTACTCCATGTTTTACACCACAGGTGTGCACTGGCGCTTGTTGTTCACACTGCACAAAATACTAGTGCGGTCGGAAAATTTTGCATTAGCATTTTGTGCGAGTGTGAACCATCAAAGTGTCGGTGCGCACCTGTAGTGTACAACCCTGGGTGTAAAGGTAGCTTTAGAGCTTGTTCTTAGAAACAGATTTAAATATAACTAGATTCAGTTCAGATTAGATCAGAACATAATTTATTCCAATCAGATTATAATTCAATCATATGAGGTGAAAAGAGCACGCCTTTATTCTTCATATAACCCTCCCTCTTCCTTTTTTTTAGGCAAAGAGTAAGCTTTGTCACACCGTGCTTGTAAGACTCAAAATGCAACAATACACAATGGTCTACGAGATGTAAGCATAGCCTTTATTCTTACATGTTATTGTTGAGAGTCCTTGAGTGTAGTGCTCCAAGGAAAGTGGAATTACTGTATAGCTTTATCTTATCCACATCAAGGAGTGTGTGGTGGGGAGCGTGGTGGGGTACAGATGGGTATTCTTTTGGTGTAAACTAGCATTTTTGATAATTTTATAGAGTGTTGGTGTAACTTATTTTTGTCAGTTATTTGATAAAATAATATAGTCTTATCGCTTCTTATTTTGTAGAACTTTTGATTTGGTTTTTAAATATATAAACTTAATTTTTTAATTTTTACATTTACAATCAAATAAATTGAATTGAAAAATAAAGTCGGTCACACTTCGTAAACAAAAAAAGGAAGAACATTTAAGGATGGTTGGACTATGGAGTATTTGAGAATTATTTCATAGTATGTACTTTGTGCACTATGGGACAGGGGTGTTGACACGAGGTGGGAAGGGGGAAGGGATAGGAGAAGGGGGCGAGTGGCGAAGGACGGTGGGGAGGGGGTGGCTGGGTGGCGTTGGGAGTAGGGGTCGGATGGTGGGTGAAATGGGGGCTGGTGGATGGAGGAGGCGGAGTGGGGAGGTGTGAGTGGCGAGTGACGGGGTGGGGGTGGGGGGGGGGTAAGTGGTAAAAAAAATTCTACCACTTATATCATCAAACACATGCCATTTGTCCTTTAAAAAAATTTTCTTTTTAACTTTTAATGGATTTAGAATGAGATAATTTTGTGTTAACTTTGAAAAATATTCTTGATGTGATAAATATGATAAAAAAATAATGGATGTATAAAATAGTTTTTAATAGAATATTTTTTAGAAACATAAAAATAAAAAGAAGAAAAGTTCTAAAGAACAGACGGAGTAATGAATGACTAACTAGATTTAATACCCCCATGCTTTGAAAAATAGGCATCCATATCACATCGATTTCAATACTTATTTCTAAAATACCAATGGTTTCAAAACCTTGAGCAGACGTCCCCTTCGACTATTTTTCATTCATTTTTCGGTGTAGGACCATTGATGCCTAAATGTCAAACCACTGGGGCATCAAAATTCAATATCTTATTCTCTATTCATTTTTATTTTTTAAGAAATTCTTCTTTATAATGTTTTTAAAAATCAAAAGTGTTTGTGTTTGAAATAAAAATAAATGAAATGAAAAAAACTAACATATATGTGCAAATAAGGTTTTTTTAGGATGTGTAAAAAATTTTATTTTTTAGATGTTCCAAAACCTTATTGTTTTTAATTTTAAAAATAAAAAGAGGAAAATGTTAAAAAACGTGAGATTTTGGAATCAGTAAAAAAATTCCTTATTCTTTTCAGTCTCCCTAAAATTTTAAATTTTCAAACATTCCAAAAAGAATTGTATGAGCCCACTTCATGACTACGTTTTACCTTTCAATAAAAGTGTTTTTTGTATATTTCTTTTCATTTGTTTCACTTTTATTTTATTTCTTTTTTCTATTTTTTTTATTTTCTTATTATTTTGGAAAACAAAAATTGAAACTTTTTAACTTGGTAAATCAAGTATATAAAAATTACTTTTTTTTCAATTATATTTATTTTAAACACTAACAATTTTGAAAGCTTAAAATATTTGTAAAGGATAATTTAAAAAAATGAATGGAAATGAGGATTGTGAGATCTTACATTCCTTTATTTGAAAAATAGACATCAATGCTTCTTTTTTATCAAAATAGTAAACAGAAAATAATCGAAAATGGTGACCGTGTAATATGTTGAAACAATATAAATGTTAAAAAAATTTGAAAACAAAAGAAATCCTCCCTCCGTCCACAAATAAATTTCTCGTTCACTATTTACAATTTCAAACTTTATTCACTTTGTTGGCCTTTTTTCGTCACCTATTTGATAAAATAATATAGGCATGTCATCTCTAGTTTTGTAGATTTTTTGATATAGTTTTTTAATATGTAATTTTTATTTTTAAATTTTACACCATTTTTCATATAAAATGATTTAAAAAAAAGTTCAGTCAAACATCGTAACGCACAACGCAAAGTTTATTTGTGAACGGAGGGAGTATTGATTTTCATTTTCTAAACTACCAGATACACTAGAACTATTAGGTCCTTAATAAATTTGTATAAAATTTTTAGAAAAAATATTTCATTTGAACAAAAAATACGCTTAAAGTCATGTTCTCTTTACCTGATCTGAATGATTATGATCTATTTAAAATAAATTTTGATCTAATTTAATTCCAATAAAAAAAATAATTAATAAAAATGAATTAAAGAAAATATGACTTCACTCTTATTATTTTGAGAAAGGTATATTCGCCTATTTGGTACTCCATGCGCAATTAATTACAGAGTATTAAACCTGCCAATAGAATAGAGGATAAGTGAAAACCACCACGGCAAAATGGGTGTCGCCACCGCAACCACCATCCCCACATCCACCTGCGACGGCGATTCGGAACGTACGGGTCTGCTAAACCCCAAGATTCCCCGGGATTCTTTCCACTTGTGTTACATCATCTACTTCACCCTCGGCGCCGGCTACCTCCTTCCATGGAACGCATTCGTCACCGCCGTGGATTACTTCTCCTACTTCTACCCGGGCGAATCCGTGGACCGGGTTTTCGCCGTCGTCTACATGGTGGTGGGCCTGGTTTGCCTTCTTCTAATTATAGCATTGGCGCAGAAAACCAACTCCTTCGTCCGGATAAACTTGGGTCTGGCTCTGTTTGTGGCGGCGCTGGTGGCCGTTCCGTTGATGGACGTGTTCTATGTTAAGGGTGAGGTTGGGGTCCCCGGCGGGTACTATGTGTCGGTGGGTCTGGTGGGGATTTGTGGGATTGCCGATGGGTTGGTTCAGAGCGGTGTAATTGGAGCCGCCGGAGAGTTGCCTGACAGGTATATGCAGGCTGTGGTTGCTGGCACTGCCGCTTCTGGTATTCTCTTTTTCTTCATCTTCTTCTTCTTCAATTATTTTGGTCCCTTTTCTCTGTTTTGGGAAATTCCTTATTGGATAATTGTCTTTTATCATTTATAATCTCTTGGTATTTTGAATCATTTATGTCTTAGTGTGTTGTAGCTTCACATTTGCTTATTAAGATTTGGGGTTTTGAAAATTGTTTCCCTAAAGTATAGTGCTTTTTATTTGCTTTTTTTTTTGCATTGGAATCTAGATTGAATCTAGAGAAAGAAAAAAAAGGTTTCCTTGTTTTTATTATTATAGGTGGTATGCATAAATTTGTATTGGAAGCTTATGGTGTAGGTCCTTTTAACTCGGATATGTCGATGGATCTATCCTTCTAGCTTAAGATTTCTAACTTCTAGGTTTGATTTAAGCGTGCTTGTTTTCGGGATGCACATGAAGTGTGCATCTACCCTTAAATGCCCTTTACGCCAAAGTTTTGAATGTATTGTATGGCATTTGGAACATTATTACCTAGTCTCTATTGTATTTTGCAAGAATCACATTAGCATTGCTGCCAACTTGCAACACGATCTCACTTTTGATTCTGCAACACATTAACATTTTTCTGCACTGTCCGCAATGTGTTCTTGTCTGGTCAAACAGTTTTTTTCAGACGATTTAATGGTGAACTATATTGATTTGCCACAGAGCTCAATATATAATTGAATGGTTTCCAGTATGAAAGTGTTCTGTTCAAAAGCCTTTTGGAACAGTATCTCTACTTCATGGAGTAGAGGTAAGGTTTGTGTACATCTTGCCCCAATACCCTACTCTTGAGTGGGATATATCTGTTCTTTATGAACTATCAAAACCTTAGGGGAGCATCATGTTTTTGTTCGTGCAGCCCATTTTGTTATTTACCTGTCTAAAAGAGTCATGTTCCTTCTTCTCATTTACAAGTTCTCATTTATGATTTTCCCCTTTTTTTACGGGATTAAAAATAATGTGATTATGCCATTTCTTGAAGGCATCCTTGTGTCTCTGCTGCGAATTTTGACTAAAGCGATGTATCCACAAGATGCTCAAGGGCTGAGAAAAAGTGCAAACCTTTATTTCATTGTCAGCATTGCGATGATGGTATTGTGCATTCTTTTTTACAACGTCGCACATAAACTTCCCGTCATTCAATACTACAATGAACTTAAAGCTCGGGCATTGGACGAAGAGAGAGAAGAAAAGGGCAACTTGAGCACCAAGTTATGGATAGAAACCTTGTGGAATGTCATTGGGACCATAAAGTGGTACGGCTTTAGCATCCTCGCTATTTACATTGTCACATTATGCATTTTCCCAGGATACATAACAGAGGACGTGCACTCTAAGATCCTCAATGACTGGTATCCTGTCCTGTTAATCACATGCTACAACGTCTTTGATTTGGTTGGCAAGTCCCTAACTGCTGTCTATA